TCTGCACCCTGGCCGTCCCTCCCTCCAGCATGTGTGTGACTGCTGTTGAAGGAATGAACACTGATTGGTTGAGCATGCTTGGTATGTGTGACTGTGTGTGTGATTGGTTTGGCAGGTCTGGGTGTGGTTTCCCTCTCAAACCTGCAGCTGATTTCCACTAATCACCAGATGCAGTATAAGAACCCTGGTCTTCCTTCCACTTGCCACAGATCCTTCCACAGAAGTCTGTACAAAAAAATATTCCCTAAAGCTTTTTTTTTTTGTTTAATCTGCTGATTGTTGTCTGAGTCTTGCTCTGATGTGTGTTCCAATTATACATTTTCCAGTAAGTTTGATTTGTTTTCCTAATTAATTATGTGATGCTTTAAAATGGGGTGGAATGTCATGATTGACAGACCGACACAAGATTAGTCGAGAGTTTAATCGATGGGATCTCGATTCTGCTCCACACCATGATCCCCACTGTGCAGAATCTGGCTCCAAATGACGGCAGCACCCATATCTGGGATATTTTATATTCTTTATTTTTGTACAGCGGTGGGATGGCCGAAAGCCACTAGCAGCCTACCTGCACTGTAACAGAGCCCAGAACATCCCAGTGTTCCTGTTGATGGTGGAGGCTTCTGAGTTTTCCACAAGAAAGTGTCCTTGAGCCGTCCACAGCACTGCCAGGGAGAAAAGTGAGGGAGAGCAGTCATTTCAGGAGAAAATAAAATTTACCCCGTCAGTTAATTACCCACATGAAGTGAAAAATTATCTTTCTGTGTTGGTAAGTAAAGCGTCTAACTGCACAGTGGCCCAAGCACAGGTTTGAAATTCATCGCACTGCAGCAATTTCAGGCTGCATTAAAAAAACAGCTACAAATCATTTTCTCTTCATTTTATTTTAGCTAACCTCTCAGCAAAGAGACGCTTTCTCTTTATTTTCATTTATATCTTAGAGCGAGCTCAAGGTGCTGCGCACTATTTACAGACACAGCTCTGAATTTGAGGTCTAATTTGGGACAAACTGTTGAAACGCATGATCACATCCCAGTAATAATAATCCCTGTATGCATTATTAAACACTATTTGGATTTTAACACAAATTGAAGCTGCAAAACCAAACAGGAGCTGAGGTGAAATATTCATGTGCCTCAGTGTCTTGACCTATTTTTAACACATTTTTAAATGTAATGTAATAAAATCAGGCATTTGAATAAACTAATGAAACAATAACTCAATTATTCAATTTTAAAATTGACAACTATGCTGATAAAGGAATAACTGTGTCTTTCATGTCTCAAGTAAAAATGCATTTTCTATTTTCAGCTTCTCGAACGAGAGGATTTATTTTTTTCTACGTCATCTTTGGATTTTGATCATCAACTTGAGCTGCGTATACGTCTGAATATGTAGTGCGCATTTTTCACTCTTCTGTAGCATTTGATGGACAAAACGACTAATAAAGAAAATAACCAAGAGTTTAATTGTTGCTAAAAATAATCATTAGTTGATCATTAGTAAAAAAAAAATAAAGATCAAATTATAGACACCCTGATAAAAAATATTAAATAGACTAATGATAATACAAATTAAATATTAATTGACATTATAAACCAGGTTTCAACTTACTGTGTCACAATACATGGAAAAGTAGAGAGTTGTCTTAAATGATTAATGTAATTTGCAACAGTTTTCTATATTCTATATAGAAATATAGGAATAATTACCAAATACAATTAAAGATCTCAATATTTCCCCTTTCTTCCAGGATAACTATGTGTTTTTTCCCTGTATGCCATAGCTTTAATGAACATGCAACCTTAACTACAGTAACTAATTAGAAAAACAATTTCATATGTGATCACATGTATTCAGGACATGCTACGGAAGAGGCACTTACACGCTGCTCCCATGCCAATGAGTACAGAGGTGAAGTAAAAGGACCATGTTGACGGGATGATGAACACAGCGATGTACCCACTAGACACAGAACATGAGGAACAGTTATTAAAGAAATGTTTCAGGTCTCATCTGTATCAGCATCCTGCAGGACAATGTTTACCTGTAGAGCAGCCCACTTATAAACATGGTAATCTTTGGTCCTATCACTGTAACAACTGCTGGTGCAAGTAAATTTGAGAAGGAGAAGATGCCATAGATGATTCCAAGACTGTAAAGAAGGCAAAAAGAAATATTAAGAGTAATAATAACTTTATTATCAAATCCCATTCTGAGGATGTGATCTTGCCTGACCTACCTGTGGTACCCACTCCCAGTGAACGTGGCATTCTCCAGGCTTTTCACCACTGTTTGCTAAAAGTAAAAACAATAATAAGAGAAGATGATGAGTGAAACACAGAGTTAGACAAGGGGACACACGCCTCACAATTATGTCCCACAGTCATCCATCTGGTTTGATAACTTCACTGGTCATTGAAGAAAATTAGAGACACGAGATGCACATGACACACAAACTCTGATTGACCAGCTTCCTACTGCCCATAATGCATCTGCTGTTGGGATTAATAACTGAGCCCAAAAAAAAGTTCAAGTAATAAAAGCATTAGAATTAGACATCATCATAATTTATTATAATATATTTTTGGAATTCATACGCTATAAACAATACACACAATGGAAATGTTGTGAAGTATTCAAATACATAAGAATATATTTTTGCATGTGTGGGTCTGCAGACTTTTCACACAGTTGTGGAAACAAACTGTAGTTACACATGTGCGTAATAGTAACAGGAAATGTGAGACATGCACTAAAACAATAACATATGTCCTAAGAGTCAGATAGTAACTACTTTATGAGAATAAGACCAGGTTCAAATAAGTAAAAAGAGAAGGTTAAACGTTGTTTTGTTTTTATTTTTTAACTCACTTCAACATTCCCACAAGTGGTGAAGGCGGTGAAAATGAACAAGAATCCAACACCCAGGATCACAACGTTGAAGGTCCTCGTGTCTGCCATGGTGTTATTCTTTCTCAGACGTGGTGTGGTGTGTTTACAGCCTCTGGTAATGTTGTGCTGTCGACTCGTGTGAAGCGCAGATCTAACACAGACTCGTTAGAAACTCCGGTAAATCCATTTTAACGGAGCCGCGCCTGAAGAGCCGCTGCACGAACTGTTGAGGACCGTGAACGCACCACCGAGACAAGGGCGCACTTCCCTCCTCAGAAACCGACCGACCCTCGCATGACAACTTGTGACTTAAATTAAAGGCACTTTCCTCTGCGGCCTTTTTTTCTTTCACTTCTTCGTCATGGCTTTCGTCAGTAGCCATCCCCTGCTCGTTCCTCCTCTTCCTCTTCTTCATTTCATTTGCACTCATTTAGCTTTGCTGCCTTCCAGAGGAAACCAGGGGGAATATTCTCCAACGGGGGGGGGGGATTGAGCAGTAGTGGAATGTACATGAGTACTTGTACTCAAGTACAAATATGAGGTTTACTTTCTTTTCATGCTGCTTTAGGATCCCACTGCACCAGATTCCCTGATTCAAGATGTTTAATGCCAGTGTGTGCCATCATGTAAAAGAACTGAAATAGAACTAGTTGAGTAGTTAAAGAAGCAGTACAAGACAACAACAATAATTAGATGACTATATGCCAAAAATGACTATACATAATAGAATAAAATGTGTATTTTCAAAATCAACAACATACTATAAGAAAACTCAGTTCAAAAACATAATAACACATGTTCAGGGAGATATATTTTTTTGTTGTGTTGCATATTTTGCATGCAAAATGTAGTGTGCTTACAAACCATGACTTTTCTTTATCTTACAGCATTTATACAAAGTATTAAAAATGGTTGAATAATTGATTGGTTGAGTTTTAACTATTTGAGGGTATGAGTCATTTTTCACACAAAACTACAGAAATGTGAGGATTTGTTGCTTCTCTAGTTTATCTGCAATATTTTTTTTAGGTGTGGACTATTGTGGGACAAAATAAAGCAATGTTGAAGAGTTGCATCAACAAATGACAAGCAAATGCATCCGTGATGTGAAGTGAATTGATCTCCACCATTACTAAATGAATGAGTAGCAAATATTTATAATATAATAACAGTCTGTACCAGTCAAATTGGTGAGAGAGAGAGAACCTCATGTAAATTCAAGACACTGGCATTGACGGAATATAAGAAGTCACATGAATTACCAGACTTTATCTTTTTTTTAATCAAACGACAGAGAAAACTAAAAGTGCAATGCTTATTATTATGTATTACAGTTGTATTGATTTACAGATGATGTGTTAACATTGCATGTGATAAGAAATCCAGAAAATGCAGACGAGCACAATGATCATGAAATATGAAAATCTCGTCCATCTCAGTTTCCAGCTTGAGGCATTTAATACGACCTTAAAGGTTCAGTGTGTAGAATTTAGTGGCATCTAGTGGTGAAGTTGCATGTTGCAGCTGAATACCCCTCACCTCGCCCTCCCCTTCCAAACATGAAAGAGAATCTGTGGTAGCCTTATCATAAAAACTCAAAATATTGTTTAGTTTGGACAACTGTAAGAAAACATGGTTGTCTCCATAGAGAGGACCTGCTCTATAAAATGTACACATAAACGTATATCAATATAAAGGGCCCATTCCACACTTGTAAAAACTTCACGAGGATTATTTTATATTCAATTTCTGCCAATAAATAATTTTAACCCAAATCTAACACACTGGACCTTTAAAGCTGAATCGTCAGATATACAGCATTTGACAGTATTAGAGGTATTTGTACCTCGTCAGTCCCAGGTCTGAAGTGAGCTCACAGGATTCATTGAGTTGTTGTGAAGGTCTGAGGAAGTGCAATCGATAAACCTCCAGTAGTTGGCGACATGGCGCCGTTTTCAACCCCAAACGTCACGTTAATAGAAGAAGAAGAAGAGCTTGTCCAATAGCAGCTGAGTGACGTGCCACCTCTCGATGCTGCCACAACAACAAAGAAGCGCGGCGAAGCGAGAGCACTCACTGCCAACTCACTTCCGGGTTTGGTAAAAGAAATATCGTCTTCGGTTACATTATGCTGCTCGTATTTTGAACGACTCTACTTCCGAGACTCGTCATCTCACGAACCTGAGTTCCTGTGCTGTGTTTTAATTCCATTGATTTCATCATCAATTCAACCTGTTTTTATCATAAAACAACTTTATTTGCACTTACGTTTCACCAGCGCATGCGCGTTGTCTTTCGGTCGCTGCGTTCCGCCGGCTAAGTGAAACTACAAATGTTTTAACGTCGTGGTGAGTAAAGCTGTGCTCGTGATGTCACTTTAAAAACAACCACTGGCCTTTCTATCTGTGTTTTTATTTTTGCTAAATACACGTTTTCTCCAACACGACTCTGGCTCCGGTGGAGTTTCGTCCCCCGGTATCGGATGTCATCCTGCTCTCTACAATCTCTTTGCCACAGCCTACAACAGATTGTACACAATCATCATGGCGACGCAGGATGGTGGGTATTGAGCAGCTTTAGCAGCGTGTCTCCACACTGAGCTCTGTCACTGTTAATGGAACGGCTCATGCGTCTCACCGGCATGTTGTTACGCGCCGCTATCGAACCTGTGTAACGTGAATTTACGCCTCTCCGCTCCGCGTTTCTCTTGAATGTTCACTAGTGTGTGCAGCTAGCTAACGTTAACGGGTGCTAACATCAGTCAGACCCAAGTGATCTGTGGAGGACTGAGGTTAATGTCGATATTGAATCGAGAACGCGTCTGAATTGTTTAGCCCTGGCTGTCATGGCTCTAAGTGAACGCGGTTAGGTTATTAATGGTAATGACGAAGTACTAACGTGTGCTGTTTGATTTAACGTTACCACTTGGGTGCAGTTTTGTGACCGCTAAGGCCACCCGTGTTTCCTGAGCCGGACAAATGCAAAGTTCTTATTTACCCTCGGAATCACATGTGGTTTGGTTGAGACGAGGTTAGCTCTGATGTGGGCCTCATTGTCAAACACAGAAGTAAAAATACATCTGTGCAGATGACAAAAGAAATGAGCGATGGAAAATACTGGAAAGACCAAGAGAGAGAGAGAGAGAGAGAGAGAGAGAGGGTGGGGGGGAGGGGGAATAAAAGCTAAAATAGACTCCATGACACACTTCATACTCTTTACTGAAGTTGTGTTTCTCTACTCTGTGTGAAGGTATGAGTTAATGCATATTGGATAAATGTAGATATTTCTAGTAATCAGAAAACAGACACTAGAACTGTGAAGAAACTGCTGAATGAGAACCAACCAAACCACAAGTAAAGGCTCCAAACTTGATTTTCAAATGGCACATATAATGTATAGAGTCTAATATAAATGACTACAGTTGATGGTTGTTTAGAATTACAGCTAGATAACGTGACTTAATATGATGAGGTCATGACACTTTTATTTGGGTGAGGGTTGGTGGTTTAGTTTAGTTGGGACTACTTAAAGGTCCAGTGTGTACGATTTAGGTGAAAGGGATCTATTGGCAGAACATTAATATAAAATAATCCTAGTTATTTTTTCATGAGAGTTTTTTATCTAAATTGTACAAATTGTTGTTCTCTCTACCCTTGAATAGGCCCTTTATATTTAAATACTTTATATTTACATTGGGAGCAGGTCCTCTCTACAGAGGCCGCCATGTCTTTTACTGGAGCCCAGATTGGACAAACTAAACACCCTTTGAGTTTTATGACAGCTGAAGCTACCACAGGTTCTCTTTCATGTTTGGAAGGTGAGGGTGAGGTGAGAGGGGTACTCAGCTGCAACATACAACTTTACCAGTAGATGTCACTATATTCAACACACTGAACCTTTAAACAATCAACACAATCAATTATTACCATATAAATGTGTTACCTCATTTGCCCTAAAAGTCATATTAACACTTTGTAAAAGTTGAAATTTCTCATGATGTTAGTGGAAGCGTGACCTCATGACACTATATTATTTACTGCGTTTTTTTTCTTTCCACTTCTAAGTTGCTCGCTTTGTGAAGGAATGGGACAATGCTAAAAATCTAAAACAAATTAAAACAGTAGAAGGACCTGAAACACTTTTACTTCTGATCAATTAATTACAACTGCCTAAATATTAGACATATTAAATCACCATTCCGAGGTATCGTATGCCTTTTTATTTGATCGTTTGACCTAAAAGTTATTGTTTTATTTCATAAATGGTTCATTCCTCTTTTTTGTAGATTAGTGGAGGTAATGTTCTCTGTCATTAGTGGTTTAATTAGTTACATATTGCATCTGAATTTTGAACGAATATCCTTTAATGATCATAATTGTTTTGGTTTTTCGTGTTCTTCCAGGAAGTGAAGAAGTCATAATGGAGACTGAGGCAAAGCCAAAAGAAGCTGAACCACTGGCTGAAGATGCTGAAAAAAGTGATGCAGAAACTACTTCTCACTTAGATACAGGAGACGCCACAACTCAGGACTCTAGTATTAGCAATGGGGATGAAACGGACGATAACCAGGAGAAGGTGGACTTGAAGATTATTTGGAACAAAAATAAATATGATCTGAAAATTCCTGTTGATAGCACAGGAGCCAAACTAAAAGAGAGGATCCATTCCCTCACTGGTAAGAGCATGCATGGTAGTTTAGCGTAGACTCAGTGTTACGGTGGGTGGTGTGTGTGAATCACGAAGCTTAATGAGTGTTCACCTTCGTTATTTCAGGTCTTCCCCCGGCAATGCAGAAAGTCATGTACAAAGGATTGCTCCCTGAGGACAAGACGCTACGTGAAATAAAGATTACAAATGGTGCAAAAATAATGGTGGTAGGATCGACGATAAATGATGTATTAGCCGTGAATACACCCAAAGAGGTCGTTCAGGAGGAAGTCAAAGCAGAAGAAAACAAGAAAGAGCCTTTATGCAGGCAAAAGGTGTGATTAATGACATTGCTGCAGAGTAGATTAAAATATTTATGGAGGTTTTGTGATTTTTAAAATCTGCCCTTTTTATCTCAGCAACACAGGAAAGTCCTGGACAAAGGTAAACCAGACGACATAATGTCAGCTATTAAAGGAACAAAGGTGAGAGAAGAGGCAAAGCTGTTGTCACAGATCCACTCTATGTTAAACATGTTTAACCAGACACAGTGAGTAACTGCTTTGCCCCGCGAACAGGAACGATTACCAACAGTGCCTTTATCCGGAATGTTCAACAAGTCCGGAGGAAAAGTTAGACTCACGTTTAAACTGGAGCAGGATCAGTTGTGGCTTGGAACAAAGGGTGAGAATACAGCTAGTCATTTTGCATCACTCTCTGTAACACAGAGATACTCATGACACAAAATTCTCTAATTTTTCTCTGTATGTTCCTCTACAGAGCGAACGGAGAAAATTCCAATGGGCTCCATTAAAAACGTAGTGTCTGAACCTATTGAAGGCCATGAGGACTATCACATGATGGTAAGTGTTGTTTATGGAATAAGAACAAAACAAATGCTGACTGTTGTGCATATGGATCACACCACTTAAATATCATCATGTAGAAATGAATTGAAATACGTTAAATGTATTTAGTTCATCTGTAAGTGGTGTTTCGTGTAAGTAAACAGTGCATGCACACTGCAGTCACTGCAGTATGTGTACATCAGAGTGACAGGGTCATCATTTGCTGTTATGGGCCTCTGCAGCAGAGCGGTAAATGTCAGTGCCTTCTCTAGATTAACCTTTTATGTCTAAAGGCACTTCTCTCCCTCAATGTCAGAAGAATACAGCAGCTTTCAGATCAGAGCCAAATGTTGAGAGAAGTAGCTGCACTTTATCTTAGTGTCAAAAAGATCAAGATCTGTTTTTGAAGAGGAAATTGTGCTTCATAGCAGTATTTGTATAAAGCATTGTGGCGTTGTATACATTTTACTTCTGGGGAAGACAGTAAATGAGCAAATTAACTATTAGACATGTAAGTGATCTGATAATTGTTGTTCTTGTACAAAGTGAGTAGAGTAAAATGAGATCAGTAAAATGCTTTGAGTTTAAGCATTTATACAAAAACAAATTATTCAGCATCCAAGCTGCGGTAAAAGTTCAATTTACTACCAATAAATTGGTATGTCGCTTTGGATAAAACTATGCCAAATGACATGTAATGTAGTGTACTATAATTTTACCACCTCCCACGACTCATCATGGAAGTAAGCCCGTGTAGCCAATAAAAATGTGAGGGCGTTTAGACGGTTTACTGAGCTCCATCAATGTCTATCATGCAGCGATGTCACTTCCTGATGCAGAACAGCGTAATCACAAGGCTACAGATGGGTGTTTTTATTGTTTTTGGCTCAGAAGTGAAACATGATGTCGACCACTCCCTCAAAGCCTGTCCCTGCATCACAGAGGAGCGGAAAATGTATGAGGAGAAGATAAGGATGATTTAAAATGTCACTGGGCAGGAAGCTTTTATTCCAGTCATTGGTATCAGTGATCCACCTCGAGTGAACCGATGCTGAGTGAATGTGAAAGTCAGCTGCTGCATTGCTGAATGGCTCCTGGGGTGTTAGATGGGCTGTAATATAATGCAAAGGAATTTGTCTTTTTCATTGGAAGATCTTATGAAAAGCAATTTACATGTATTTGAACAATCAGATGTTCTGTTTTAGGATTTGTCTCTTTGTTTGTCTTTATTTTTGTTGCCTTTTAGAATGTATGCCTTGTCATGTGCTTAGCTTTTTTCTCCCTCTTCTTCCATAGGCTTTTCAGTTGGGTCCAACAGAAGCGTCTCAATATTGGGTCTACTGGGTGCCTGCACAGTTTGTTGATGCAATCAAAGACACAGTCCTTGGAAAATGGCAGTATTTCTAATGTGCCTCTTTTTTTGACAATGATGAACTGGGATTGAGAGAAGGAGCCAGTGGCAAATGAAACTGGAGTCAATAGTGAAGCTTACTTGTCGGAATATATTCGAAGGAAACGGATGGATGCCTGTGGACTAATCATATTCTTTTTAGGTTAAAAGTGCACTATGTGGCAGCGTAACATTTCTCAGCCCCGTTGATCATTCAAGGTTTGAAGCAAATCCAAGGGAAAACAATGAAATCGTTGTACAGAAATTGCTAACACTTTTCTTCAGTTATTCTTAATGAAATAAAACTTATTTAATAAAATGAAGTCAGCAGGACATTGTTGTTTGTTCTGTCTGTGTTCAGTGTGGATTCCAAGTTGACATCTTTGATCCATTTTGTATGGAACCAAAGTTTTGCATCATAACAATGCAGTAATATTTATGTTTGCAAAACTCTGACAAGAAAATTTGCTCAACGACTTTTAGTGAACAGTAATTTCCTGGTCCGGCCACAAATTGTGGATTAGACTGAAATCTGGACTTGGCCCATAAAACTGGTCTTTTGAAGCAAGTCCTGTTAAGTTTTCTGTTTTTAGGTCAGTTTCCTGCTTAAAAATAAATGTGCCGGCCAGAACTTTCCTTGAAGCTACATTATTATAAGTATAATAGAGCATGACTGATTAATAGAACAGGCCTCTAATATAAAATCAGTATTTTATGCAAATTAGTCATCAATGTGTTTGCTCTTATTACCAATATTTCAATATGGGTCATCCATGTAATTTAAATTTGACAATATTGAGACTTGTTGTAGGTACTGATGATGAATAAAACTGACGAAGCCATACATAGCCACATTTGTTACTCTTTGACTTTACAGCACAATTGATATTTGTAATTCTTCATGCACAGTTCTCCCAAAAAGACTTCTGTATCTTATCCTCAAATAGGAATTGTACACTGGCAAGACTGGACTATCAAATGGGAGAAGCTGGCAACCAAACCACTTGGGACTACAAATGCCCCATTTTCACTGAATATAATTTGGGTCAAACATAAATTGATTAATTTCCAGTTTGTTTAAAATGTGCTCCTCTAAAAATTAATTTCATCTACGCTGGGTCCTTCATCTTGTCAGATCTTTTAGGAGATTTGGGGATTTTACTGAAACTGTTTTAGTTTTTATTTAACCAAGTTCTGCTTTATGAAAGGTTTTTAGTGTCAAGTAAATATCACAGAGAATTTTCCAGTATCCCATTAATGGAGAACTGTATTAATGTTGCATCCAGCAGCTATTTTATTTTATTATGTTCTCTAATAACTGATAATAGAAATTAATGAAAAATGTCCATTACTATTGAATTCAAATTGAACAATTGCTATGTTTAACAGTCAAAAAACGAAACCAAAACATATGTAAACAATTAGTCTGTTACCTTACAGTATAACCAGTTGATTTCTTTAAATAGAAAAATGAATAATTTAATCTTTGGAATACTGGTTGGTTTCTCGGCAGCTGTATTTATGAACGCTCGAGTTTGAGGTGATGCTTTTAGTTTGAAAGACACTAGGAGGGAAATGAAGGAAAAATAGCCCCGCCCTTTCCGGTGAAGCAGCTACGTGTTGGGGGGACGCGGGAAATGTGAAGTTCACGAACATCAGCTGTGATCCACCGTGAGAACACGTCATGTACAAACCGGAGGGAAGCAGCGTGGAGAGAAAACGTCCTCCGCCGGTTAAAGTGCTCTCCTGTCAGCTGAGGAGCGCAAAGACCCAGGGGGCCTCCGGCAGCGGGGACAGCTGGCTTATCAGACCGGGCAGAGGTCCCTCTCTTCCGGTGTCGCTGGTGTGGATGCAAGGGACCGTCCTGGAGGCGCAGCTGGACCGAAACACCGTCCTGCTGATGGATGAAACGGGGACGTTCGCTGTCCAGGGCGTCAACAACATCCCCAAGGGGAAGTCATGTTTGTCCCAAGGTAGGAAAACTAGACTGAAGCCTGTTGGTTCAGGAGTTGTGGGATAAACATTTTCATTATTAAATATCAGTCTTAGTTTTCTCCTGGAGGATTCACTCCGTGCAATCGACCCCCTGATGATGTTATACAGGCAGGTACGTGATGGTGATGGGTCTCATCCAGGCCGCCTCCCCGGAGCCAGTCGTCCGGGCGGTGAAGATGGCAGATCTCTCGGAGCTGGCGGAGCTCCACAGGCGGATGTGGAGGCTGGAGGTGGAGGAGCTGCAGCAGGTGCTGGGCTGAGTGCAGAGGAAGACCTGCTCCTGCCGCTGCTCCAGGCATCGATGAGAAATGTAAAGTACCTCAGTGGACTGAAGAAAGGAGGGGAGGCAGGAGGACCAGACTTCTATATGTGCAGTCATGCAGAAATCCTTTTTTTTGGATTTAGTTTTTCTACTGACTTTCATCAATGAGACATTAACTTACTTTTTAGGGACATCTCGTCAGCTTATACAGTTGGCATTAGAAAAACAAATATTAATGTGTACAAAGGCTGGGTTTCATAGAGTTCATATATCTTAATTGTGGCAGAAAATAAACCCAGTCAACATTAAGAAAATATTCACGTTTATCTTTGCCTGTGTCATGTTTGTCAGTTGTGGAATATAACTTAACATCATTTTTTAAAAGATTGTTAAAAAGTACTTCAGATTTGTTTAAGGTATTAGTGTCATGGTACTTGAACATTTCTCACTATTTTTGAGGGAACCTTTGAATGTTTTATATAATTTGAAAGCTACTAATGATATAAATAAATATAAAGATCTAAGGAACCACGTTAACAGCTTCGACATCAAGTCAAAAGCTGCTTAATTCTTGACTCAGTTATAGACATATACAATATAATTATCCTTGTCGCACTTTATCCTGTAGCGGAGTATTTGCTTTGAATTTCTTTTACCATAATTACAAATGTGTAATCAATTAAAAACACAGCAGTTTAAACACAGGTTATAAAAGAAGCTTTATTTGGTGTGGTAACCATTACACTGGTAACAGTATTAGATAAATGGAACATGACCTATGTTGATGGATTAAAATAAAAGACTGGTATTTTAAGTATACCATACTTAAAACTTGAAAAAATAAAAACAAAAGGTCATTAACATACAAACCGCTTCTGAAAAATTTGAACTTTTTAGGTCAACTGTTAAGTATTTGAACATCTCATCACATCTCTGATCAGGGTTTACACATGCTACTTTCATCACCGACGTCAGATCTTCTACTGAAAGGTGCATAGCAAAGCTTAAAGTGTCTGACACTTATAATTTGCTGTTAACCAAAACACTTGTGTAGCTCTGATCAGAGTAAACAAGCCACCAACAGAGGGCCGGTCCTGATCGCTCCCTCTTCACAACCACGATGTGACCAGGTTACTTCCTGTGCATCTAGAGGCTCTCAAGGATCACCTGATTCAGGGCTGTTGGAATACTGCATTGTCATCAAGTGAGCATGGATAGTGTCGCCATATTATTTGATGTCTTTAAGCAGAAAACTGTATTTTCCAAAGTCATTGTCATTTGGTGCTATAAGATGGTCTTTTCTGGCTTTGGCAAGTTTCATCAAAAGGAATTCCCTGCGCTCCTTCCACTCTTTCAGCTCCTGGTCCCCGTGAGCCAGCTTACAGAAGTCATCCTCTGTGCACGTGCTTTTGAGGAACCTGTCAAAACACCACATACCAAATGTCAACCATCAAAAACCCTGGAGCGGGGAACAAACAATACGCTACGTCAGATAATCTCACCTCTCACAAACTTTGAAAGTGCCTGTGGGAAATCGATACTGCCAGCAGTTCTGGTCGTCCTCAGAGTTGAAAACCCTGTCTTTGTGTTTTTCTGATGTGATGTGCTGCTGCCACTGCTTCTCGCTGTTGCAGTTTTTGCCACAAAGCCAACAGTGATTGCCAGCCTGGGAAAAAACAGAGCAATCTCATTTCCATCAAATACTTATTACCATCTGTTTATCAAAACTACTGAATATATTGTGGTGTATTTTTATTTTAAGTGTCTATTTTCACCCCAGTGAGAACATTCACACAGCAGCTAATGTGCTATTTACACCAGGTGTAAATAGCACATAAGAGGTAAAGGTGCTGCATGCATGGTTTCATTGTCAAACATGAATGACTATGTTTACATGAACAATATTCAGACCGTTGACCTTATTCTGAATAACACTTTCTTTGATTATGAAGTTTCCACGAGTTGGTAATAGAATATTCAATTTATATCCCCATTTACATGTTGGAGACAATATTACATTGATTCTGTGTTAACACGGAGTCTGTAAAATACATATCTACATAATGCGACTTAAGTTGGAATACTCCACAAGTCTGGATTGGTTATTGCTTATTCTGATGTTACCTGTATCTATTATGCTATTTGGATTAAGGTTATTAGAAAATTCAGACTATTGCTAAGCCATTTACATCTTAAACTATTATACACATCAATAGCTGCAAAAAAGGAGCATAAAGCGATACTATTCCAGTCTGGTTGCAAATTCCATTTTCATTATTTTACTGACTTTGCATAAAACTGAATTAAAACATCAAAATCTTACGTTCTATCACACAAGTTAACTATTAGGCACAAATTGTGTTTATTTCATCAACAATTGAGCACAAAAGCAATAAAACGCTGCAGCTAATGTGTCTGTGTTTTCATAACAACCCAGTGTAATAGCTGAAGCCAATTAACCGATAAAACAAAATGGGAAAAGTAAATTAACGTGTTATCCTACAGCATTTTGTCAAATGCAACCTAAACAAAGCCATAGGCTCTTAGTTTACAAGCTAAATACCACAGAGAGGTTTAAACGTGTTACCAGACAAAAGCACGGATGTTCTCTAGGCCTTTAAACTCACCACTTCCTCTGCATAGTCTGTTGGCATGTGGATCTGTTTGCCATTCTCCCTCACAGAGTTACCCGAGGTCTCATCACCCCAGCCAGGTCTCTGAGACTGCAGCCACTGCTCATAAAGCTGATCCATATCTGGAACTGAATAAGGAGGGAATAAAAATGGGTGTGCATCATAAACTTAATGCTATCAAGCAAGGGAGCCCAACTCACTATTGTTTTCCTTCATATAGGTCCAAAGGTCTCGTTCTTCTACACTGTGAGCGAATGTGCAGTTCCCAGTGTACTGACACTTCTTTCCAGATGTGACGTGCATGCAAATCTAAGAAAGAAAAAAAAAAAAAATGGTAATCCTTGCTTGGATTTGTTTTCAGACACAAAGAACAAATTAGGCAAGTTCAGTTTAGAAAAATGTTTTGCACACCTCGAACTGAGACGGGATCGGCTTTTTGGTTGGAAGCGGTCGAACTGTTGTCCACTTTTTCCTTTCATGGGAACTTACAAGCACCACACGTCTGTCTTTCGCCCACCTGAAACATAAAAGACGGATTTTGTGATTATGCACTGGATTACACAGGTTTTTCCTTTAACATAAACAAAGACCTCTGAATACTCACGTGTGTCTTGCCTTGGCTGAGCAATACTTCTTGTTTTTGTCTGCTTCGCTTACTTGGCCGTTTCTCCAGCACTGGCCACAGACAAACATCATCTTCAGATTTGGAGGCCCGAACCTCCTCTGTGTGTTGGAAAGCTGCGGATAAGATTTGAAGGGATGGTATAAAATCTAGGCAGCAAATTTGCCAAAGCGATAAACCTGAATGCTTATCGACAAATCACCCAACAAAGCTGCAGAGAACTTATACACTTTAATCAGCCATTCGTGTTGCAATAGAAAGTCTCGCACTGCCGACACATTTAATAACTCTGCCTTAATCCAAGGAAAACTAATTCAAAAACTAAAAATGACAAATGGTTTATATAACAATTTCAATTCACTTCTATTAAACTGTTAGTGGAAATATACTATGATTGTAGTCAAAGTCAATGAGGTTTGTTAAAAGTAACATCACACTGAAGAGTTAGGAAATGCCAGCAGCAAACAGACTCCTGATGACTTACCTGGACTCCCTGCAATGACGCTGTTATATTCCAAAACTTCTTTGCTTCTTGGACAATACTTTCATGAGTAATACCTTTATGATGCAAAATACAAAATACAAAATGAGTAATTATGTTTCATTTAGCGGTGACACAGCAGAAATTGTTCATTTGGGCTTGTGGAAAAGAAAAGAACCCTAGACATGTATTTCAGGTATAAAACCAATTTGAGTGCAGATTGAAAAAGAAAGTCTTACCAAGCTCGTGCTGCATCATCCAGACCTTCAGCTCAATGAGGCTGTGGGCGTAGAAGCAGTCGTCCTCCCTCACGCAGCCGTAGCGGACTTCATGGCGACAGAGATCCAGCTGGCAATGGGGACTCAGCGGTCTGATTTTGGAATATCGGACCGTGTTCTCCTTCAAAATATGGACCAGGCACCTAAAAGACCAACAGAACTTCAATGCTCACAATCATATCCTGCTCTCATTTCATAATCTTATTCCCTCACAGGCTGTTGTTTGCTTTTCATGTATGATTTGGAATCTGAAGTCAAGTCTACCGCTCATACATACTGTTAAGGTAAACACGGAGCTTTTAGAGGTAGGAAATGTGAAATAACTCACTTATGGTCCTCGAAGACATGCTTTGTCACTGGATGAGAGCAAAGTGAAGGTTCATCTTTGTTGGTTTTGCTGATTATTCTGGGTTTGTGGTCAAAGCAGACCTGTGGAGAACATTCAATTTAAAACCAGTGCAAATTTATTTTGGGAATAACAGAAGGCTGATAGGGGCGACATCCGTCACTTCGCTCCATGGCTGTAACACAGCAGAGCTTCTGCTGGGGGAGGTTTCGTTTTAGTCTCAGCAGAAAAGCCAGCCTATAAAACCAACCATGCAGCAGAAAATGTTTATGTATTATTATATTCTATTCTTGCATCCACTTAGAAATCCAATTCTAACAGCTACTAATGAGTACCAGAAAAATAAAGGATTTCACAGAAGAAGAAAACTCCAATAAACACAATTATTCCCTTCATTTTCATATATAAATGCCTTATTTTTCAGATTAAGAGTGAAATTTGGAACAATAATCAATAAATGAAATGAAAAACTATTCCGCTAACGTGCATTGCTTTTAGTAAAAAGTTGATATACCCATGCAATTCTATTAAAATGTACACCACCAAATTCGATTTACTCACTCCGCAGAGAAACATGAAAATCCCATGATGCTCCTGTAAGATTTTGGGTACAGTCAACCTGATGTTGGAGTTGGGTCCAAAAGGATCAAAGAGCAGTTCTCTGGAGATAAAACCTTTTCGCTCCAGAGTCCAAACGTCAATCTCTTCTTGGCAGTATGCAAACGTGCAGTGGCCAGGGTACAGGCACTCTTTTCCAACTGCCACCTCTGAAATGATGCATCGAAGGTTTAGTTCTTATCCAGATACAGCAAAGTGTAAAAAGACCCAGAAACATGCAGACAGAAGAATAGAGGCAGTAAAGGTACACAAGTAAACATACTTAGGGAACTGAGGGGGTCTTTGCTTTTACTTTACTAATGAAATGACAACGTATATATGTAAATGTTTTTCCTCTGGAGAAAAA